ATTCAAGGAGGTTGTCCAAATAGGCAGTGGGATCAGTGATTGATTCCACAGTTAGACCTTGTTGAGGTTTTCGCAACTCCAGAAGGTTATCATGTAAATTTTGGATCTGCTGAAGATTTCCTATTATGCGTTGGATTGTTTTGTTGAATTGTAAGCATTTTACAATGAATTGAAATCGACTTGGAATTCGGTCATACCCGAGAATTTTTAAAGTAACAATTTTTTCTTTCAGATTTTTTCTCCCATTCAACAGCAACTTGCTGAGTGGGGAAGACTTGCCTCCAAAACATATCAGAAATTGAACTGATTTGACTTAACAGAAAGAAAGCTACGATCAAAAAAGCATTTGGCCGAATACTTTTAAGCGCCACTGTATGCCCCGGCGTTTGAGAGGGCATTTCTGCACAATTGTTGGAGGTTGTGTACGTGTGTGATTGCGAAAAGGGTAGCTATAATCCTATAATCATCATACTTACATGTGGTGACTTTTTCATGACCAGTGAGAACGGCATAGAGATCAAAGATAAGCAACACAATCCATATAATGATAAGGATCACCTAAACACCGGTTTTGAGCCTACCATGGTGTGAAACTTCCTCCACTATATTTTCGTGGTATGTGCCAATAGAAATGTCACGCCACATAACATATGAAGCAACAAGTACGAGCCATCCAAGTCTCGTCAATTTTCTGCCCCCGTCCTCGGCACGGCACCACCTTGCTTCACGGTAAAGCCACAGTCTGTTGTGGACACACGTGCGGAGGGAGGAACTCTGACCATCCATTCCACTGCGGCCGCGGCCGCGCCTTCCTGTGTTATTCATGGCCTCAAAAAATCGGAACTCGTAATGTTCACGGAAGACGCTGTCACAGTTCAAGCCGGATACGTCAAAAATAGCTGACAGCGTAGACCAGGCGCGCGCTGGATATTGTCACAGCGTATGCAGATAGGGCAAATGGAAGAGCAATGGCCATACTTGTCCCCAACATACACGCATTTATTAGTTTGCAAGAAACCTTCTTGCTGTGTTTGACAGTCCAAGTTTTAGTGCATCCAACTGTATAACACGTATCACCTGTCGTCCCGTTGATCATCGAATTGCTCGAGCGGGCGCCAGCAACGTCTCCATTCGTCCCTGTCGCGTGCAAGAGTTGTCCAGTGGATCCTCCTCGCTCGAGGGACACGAAGTCCTTCATTCCTTTCGTTCAGAGCTTTCGTGAAGAAGTCTGACCATCGGGCCGGCGGTCGTCCAGGTGTTCGTTTGACGTCCGAGGGATCCAGTCGGTAACCGCTCTGGTCCAACGGTCATCGCAAAATCGCATGACGTGTCCGGCCCACCTTATCTTCGATTCCTTGGCGAAAACGGCAGCGTCCCTGATCTTCGATCGTTGCGTGTATAGGGTTACTCCTAGCATCGTCCTCTCGACAGCGCGTTGGATAACGCTGACCGCATGCTCGTCCTGCCTGCGCAGAGTCCAAGTCTCTGAGGCGTAGGTTAGGGCAGGAAGGACAGCGGAATCGAAGAGGTGGGCACGGAGCCGGATGTTCTTCGTCTTCTTCACTACTCCCTCGATGTTCTTGTACGCTCCCCAAGCCGCTCGTTTCCTCCTGCTCAGCTCTGGAGCTAGATCGTTCATCATATTGATTTCCCGACCTAGGTACACGTAGCTGGAGCATTCGGTGATGTTCGTTCCGTTGAGCGTGAATGGGGCATCAGGAACCAATCCGTTTCTCATAAACATCGTCTTCGTTAGGTTCAGCTGTAGACCAACCTTACCACAGGCGCAGTCGAAATCAGCCAGCATTCGCTCCGCTTGCTCGATGTTCGGCGTTATAAGAACGATGTCGTCAGCAAAACGAAGGTGGTGTAGTTGCCGGCCGTCGACCTTCACTCCCATGTCTTCCCATTCCAGTTGACGCATGACGTTCTCGAGAGCGGTGATGATGTCGCCCTTCGCCCTGTCGCACTCCTGTCTTGACGTTGATGATGACTCTTTTGTAGAATGGTGAGATTCTGGTCGTAAAGTTGCTGTAGAGCTCACGAAGAATCTTGATGTACTGAGTAGGGACGCCCTGGTTGCCCAAGGCTTTGATGACCGCTTCTGTCTCCACAGAGTCGAGGCCTTCTTCAAGTCGATGAACGT